TATATATATATATAAAAACAAAACTCCCTTATTGTCTTGTCATTCTTCTCTCACTGTATATATGTATATATATGGTATTCTGGGCCCCTCCCCCATCCAACATACACAACCCTATTGAGTTGTGTATCACAGGCTCTGTTGTGGATTATGTTGTACTGTGGATTATGGGATTAACACACACACACACACACACACACACACTCTCTCTCTCTCTAACCCCTGTGCACCACCAGAAAAGCACATTCGGTGGCACCCTGTGAGGAGCAGGGATGTACAAGACGATGAACCCGGCAAGTTCAACCAGGAGATATGACTTTCTCTGGTGTGATTTACACAGTTTGACAGCGTGATATCATGTGTAACAGTAGTATAAACCTCTGTGGTATTATCTAGATGATACATGAAACTATTTTCTATTTTGTCTACCAACCACACACAGTCTACATTTCATTATGAAAACAATATCTAATGTAATGATGTTATTTTTATTCAATAATTTATGAGTCATTTAAGAGAATGAACAGTATGCAACAGAGCTGCTGCCTCAATTCAATTATTCATATTATTAGCCATTACTCATGTTGAATTGTTGGGTAAGGAGTAAATTCTTTATTCCCATTTACAATATTATCTACACTGAGCAATAAGAGTGCTGAGTAGGGGTGTGACAAGACACTTAACCCACGAGACGAGATTTTAACACTATCTAAAAAAAATCTTGACTGAATTGAATTATATGAAAATTTTGAGCATTAAACACTTTTTTTCCTGCATTATGATGATTTTTTGCATCATCATCATTTCTGCACCAGTTTATGGTGCTTTTTTTATTTATATGTGGCAGGTGACAATTCACAATCTATAGCCTAAATATAACAGAATATAATGCAGCTCTCAGGCATTCTGTGCTGCTTTCAGATCTGTTGTTTATGTTGCAAAACTCTATCAGCTACGTTACCGCACGTCACAGCTGTCTGAACTCAGCGTGAGCGTGAGCCATGAGATCTCATGGCGTGAGATCTCGTCACACCCCTACTGCTGAGCGTTGCTTTCCTATGGAATGAGAAATGCAGCTATGTGCTCCTAAACCATGGCTTTAAACTACACAAATGTACAGCTCTACCAATCTTAAACCATGAGTTTTTAGATCGATCTATGTGTTTTCCCACATTTCATGAAGCCGCTGTTTTCAGTTCATGACAAATGTTAAACTACTGTATGCTTTGGAAGTCATCCATGCTAGTTTGTTGACATAACCGGTCAACATCTACAGCAGGTAAACTGGCCACACTGGTGCTGTCAGTTTCTCTTCAAGTTGGTCGTCCGTGCTGAATGTTGTGCTAGTTAATTGATGATCACATACATCTAGGCCCATGAGATCGGGATGTGAAGTCTATCTTTCTGGTGTTGTCTTGCACCTCACCTCTCCATATAGATTTCTGTCTCATGTCAGTAAAGTCGTGCTCTCATACATCTGTGTGCATGCCAATGCCTCAGAGGAGCAAATTTTCTTATGTCACATCAACTAAGACCTGGTGACCAAATTACTCATGTTCAGCAACCACCATGTGCCTTCAGCTGCAGTACCTTTGATGGTTCCTAGGTGCTGACTCCCAAGAATTTAAAAAGCATACACTTCTCTCTCTTTCAAATCACCAAAGGAGGATTTTATTTTTCCTCTTAGAAGGTGTAAAAAGTTACTTTTACTTATTGTGATGAACTGTGTGTAATATTTAGGAAGATATATTGACAGAAATACAATGTGATATCCATAAATGTTTTCAGTGGTGTATAAAGACCTTACATAATGAACCGTTATGTTTTTATTACCTTAGAACGAGCGATTTCTATCAATAGGCACCGTCATCTTACATGGGCATTGCCATGTTGCGCCGCCATGTTTCTACAGTAGCCCAAATGGACAAACTGCTCAATATAGCGTGTTTTGTCACTACGTCGAATACATACAAAGAACAAGAAGAAGAAGTTGTAACAGTTGTCTTGTTTGTTAAAAGTAAGAAACGTGAAATTTGAATAAAAAGAGGACCAACACAGAAGAACCAAGGTGTGTGTCAGCCACAGCTGCTTCTCCAGCATGCTTGCAAAGGGAGGGATGAGCAGTGACAGACCAGTTGCACTTCACAACCTTCACCATTAGATGCCACTAAAACTTACACACTGAACCTTTACAGAACTACAAAAGCTAAAAAAAGATGTTCAAACCAATACTATTTAACTTTTGCTGAACAGCAACCACTGCGGCTACAAGAAGCAACTTTTAATTTCCCCAGGAGTCATTTGATTTAATGACATCATCCACTGACTGAGAGTGAGTGTAATGAGATCACATGCAGGAAACAACAAACATGTCTCCTGGTGATGGACAGGGAGAGACCACTTTTTTACTTTTATCATTAAAAATGTGGGACATGTTAAAAACATGGTGTAACAGTACCGAGAAGTGTCTCGGTTTAAAAAGCTTATGCAACTTATACTTTTGAGGGAGACAGACACTTCACTCACAGACAGTACGCAATACAACTTTAGAATTAAAGCCTCCACAATGCAACACTGTGACGTGGAAGGTGCACTATAATATCAGAGAAACAGATGCAGTGCTGCTCAGTTGTACATTTCACGCATATGTATGCATTGTTGTGACAAACACTTGACAAAAACACAAGCTTTTAAATGACAACTGTGAGGTAAACACACCCCTGCTCTGTCTCTCACTCCCACACACTGTCGCTCTTTGTCTCTCACAGACAGCCCAGTGATCCACAAAACATTGTGACAGCCTAGTTCCACTCATTCTGACAGCCCCACACACACAGTATTAGTGTGGCTACTTGACAGTGGGACTTGGGGAGTACCTGTCAATCTATTATATACTGTTTATATTATACAGTTTAAGCAATCAAGGCTCAACATCATGCTTTCCTTTGTCCAATGCTGGCATAAAAATGTTGTTTTGGTTTGTCTGTCGGTTTATAGGGTTGTGATCATCAGAAGACCGGTTTGAATATAACCACAGACCACGCTAGCTAGAAGTTCAAAGCAGGAATCTTCAAGCTTTTTTAGGGCCGATGCAGTCGCTGATCTCATGTTATTACGCTCAATTTAAAATAGATGACTTTGTTCCTGTTTTCCAACATTTTTCCAAAAAAGCTCCCGCATAACAGACTCTGAAAAAGCCACCACTTTTGCCTCTGATCTAGATGCACTATGTTACACTACTGGTAAGTTATTTCAGAGGTTAAAGGGTTTTTTACTGGGAACAGAGATTCATTAGGTTTGATTATATTCTGCATTACCTAGGTAATTTCCCCCTGCATGACTCTTTGAATCATAAAAAGGCACTTTAAATGATTACCTGATATTACAACAAATAATGAATGAACAACAAATCTTTTATATCTCTTCCAGACACTTGCCATTAGGAAACATTAGATTGCATTTGCCATTACCACTGCCAATCGATCTTGGCTTACAACCATCACCAAGCTCCACACTTGTTGTATCTTGCATCCCTGTGAGGTCTGTTTATTTTGCTGTGGCAAAACTGGATCAGACGGATGTTCAAAATCAGATTCTGACTAACTGTTATATCTGAAGGCATACAAAACTGATACACTGGTAAAATAATACTTTAAATGCTTGTTTTCTTTTAGAGATCAAATTCTCTGTTACAAGCCTCCAGCATTTGATAGGCACTAGGAGCACATCGATACTGCCCATTCAGTTCAAGTGGAGTTGTGGTCAACAGTGCCATCTGGAGTTCATGTGAAGCTACACAATAACCTAAACTGCTCAAGAACAAGCCTTGACAGCACAGAATACAAATCTGTTTATCAAATTCTGTAACACACTGAGCTGATTTGTGCCTTATTCTAAACCACAGTGCAGTGATTTTTTCCATTAAACTGAGTATTTCCTTTATTCATAAAACTGTAGACTAAGACAACCAGAATGTGTGTACTTCTGCCAACAGAGTCAGAAAACAATCAGATTAAATCTAAAAAGTGATAAAAAGTGAACAATGTTCTCCATGCATCACTATTACTGCACCTCAGGAAGACATGCATGTTCTCACATCAACTGTTAACCAATTACTGCATCTCTTGAGGCCAATCTGCATTGCATTCATTCAGCAGCCATTAGCGCTGCTACTCTACAACACTGCCAGCTTATGAAAGAACTGGTAGGGTGGTAAACTGGAAATGAGCTCTTGAGCATCCTCGTGGTGTTTGCATCTCTTGTAGCTCTGGCTAAGGGCATAATGTATGATGCCGTTACTTTATATAAATATAAACTGACCTCCCAGTCACGCCACCAGCACTCCAACCTTTCCTTACTGGTATGAAAAATAGTTATCCTAATCTTTGTCACATGAACAACCTTTCCAGTGGAATGAAGTCACAAAAACAATGCATTGAAAACTCTCATCCATCATTGGCAGAGATAAAAATAAAATAAGCTATTTATTACCCCCAAAAACATGCCGCACTGCCACAGCTATGGAAACGAACTAATCAGAGAAACTTATTAGGTGTGTTTTGACTTAAAACAAGGCATGCTGGTTAGAAACTGTGTCCGAATTTTGCCGGCACTGCAAAACGTCACCGTGTCACATGACATTAAAACCTCACAGGAGCAAGGCGGCTGCAGGCGCCGAGTCCGACTGCACCAAGTTGAAACCGCACTATTGCCTGGTCTCGCGGCATTTTTCTTTGCAAATTCCACGAGATCAGTCATTGATCTCAGCTCACAGTAAGCTGCTGCAGGTATAATGTGTCCCACTTGACAGCGCGTTTTTATACCCCGCCCCTGCAGTCACCTGCAGCTCACGTTAGACTATCAAGTCGGCGAAAGTCAGCCACCGTCATCTCATGTATGTGAGCAGAAAGCGCCCTCTGGTGGCTCAACATTGCACCTGACAGCCAAATACATGTCTTCACAAACACAATGAGACTGTTTGTGGCGTGCATGTGCATACTAACCAAGTTGTAGTGAAGTCTCAGTGTGGTAATATCCGTCTTGTTGCTTCTTTTTCAACATGGAACAAAGGTCCACCTGCTCAACTGTCTGGTCTCCAAAAAACCTGAGTGTTGCAGTGAGACAGACACAGTGAAAGTGAGAAAGTGTTGACGCCTCCAGCGGAGGGTAAAGACCGCTGTCAGTCGTTACAACCACTTGATAGCAACTCAAATTAAAAGTGACAACCATATAAAGATTCCAATGTGTCCATTTTTATCCTCAAAACGGGCAACAAAACCTAATGCGATATGGTGCTGTTAAAATAAAAGTGTATTAAGTAAAAGTGCAAAGAAAATTATGGGGTCTTTATAAAAGACACAAAACTGAATAAGAGCTAGAACTGGATTTGTGCAAACAGTGCAGTAGTTATTTCCTGCTACTATATATTTCCTGCAATGGTGTGCTTACTTATCCATTAAAGCATTCAGTATGGACACAAAACATTACACAATGTCCCACTGCATGTATTGTAGAGTACTGAGTCAGAGTCAGTGGACTTGGTTGCCCGAATACTTTGCTTGCTTGTTATATGAAAAACCGAGCACCTACTTGTTTGTATAGCTGGAGTAGAGGGCTGGGTCCACACGCTTTATACTCTGAAAAACATAAAGGGAAAATGCTGTTTATATTATGTTTATCCCAATTTTTTGGACATTCTTGACAGACACAGAAACATATACACACACAGACTGGAAGAAGACAAGAAGACAAGAAGCCGCCTAGCAGACGCCAGGCAGGATAAGATGTTATCAGGTGTCAAAGGACAAAAAGACAGACATTGTGCTTCCTCTGTCTCTTCTGTCCTGACCACTGTTCATCTCTGCTTATTTTTCATGTCCTTTCCCCCTTCACCACCTTATTATCTTTATCCTTTTCAGACCCATTCCAAAAGAATCACTTTACCATTTTCTCTCTCCGTTCCTCAGATACCTTTCTCTGTAGTCTATAGAATTATATCCACATTACATTTTCTTTTAAAATACCCCAGCAGGCGTGTTACTCCCACTAGTAGCTCAAGCTGGAGCAATTATTTGGCATCTGCCTACTGGATGACACATTTCACAGAAAGGAGAGGAAAATACAAAGAATGGCCAGCGACAGAAGAGTAACACTGACACTGTTTGGCAGTTCTCTCAAATCAGTTGTTACAAGAAAACAAGCTTGGGAAGGCATATGAAAGCATAATATGCAGCATAATTGGAGTACTACAACGCAAAGCTATGCAAACATTATCCATTAAAAACAAAACCATGCTGTGCCAGTGCAGCTATGTTTTTATTTATTTAAAAAGATGTATGTAACTACAGCAATTGTCAAACATATTTTGGTTACACTATTTAATTCACCACTTGTTCTCATATGCACAATGCAAGAACTTTAGGTTAGTTGCTGCGGCACACTGCCTGGAGGGCTCACTGTTTTTCCCCTAGAAGTACTTAGCTTCTCTGACATGCCTATGCCTAGAGCTGATACATTAATTACACTGCCAATTTGACATAATGATAGAAGATACTATCAGTTAAATATTGGCAGTAAAAGGCATGCTGGTAGATTGTGGTACATACTGTGTCTATTTATGTATGTATGTACACACACACATGCACGCGCACACGCATGCGCGCGCGCACACACACACACACACACACACGTGTAAAAGGTACTTTAATTACCTAAATCCAGCCAGAATGTGTGTGGAAGTGCACGTGTATACCTGGGATCGTAGTTTCGACGCTCTGGACAGCTTCATAATGGTAAGGTGGGGTTCAAACCCACGACTGTCAACTTGCAGACCCTGCTCCACAAAACGGCTCCGGAGCAACTCTGCAACACGCAAAGTTTGAACATCACTATTATATTAGCAAACATTTTATTGATAAGGGCAAAAAGGAAGGATGTCAGTTGACAATGTCACCATATACAGAAAGGAGAGATTTTACAAAGGTCATGGATTAAAACCCACAACATCATGAGTATGCTGTACATCCACTTCTATCCTTCTAATGAACCATCTCAAATCCACTTCACTGAGTTGTATAAAAGCCATACCGGAGGACACAAATAGTGCAGACACAGATGGCAGATAACGTGTGTCAAAAGACGGGGGGAAAAAGCATTTTACTCGCGCATCATTTGATCACGCAGATAAAGACAGATACATGAACAAGGACACAGGCACACAGACAACCTGCAAGGACACAGATACACGCAAACAAAGACGCACACACCAACTCATGAGGTTTGGAGGGAAACCACAGGGGTATTTTTAGAAGAGAAGCTCTAGCGCGAGAGAAAGGTTAGTAGATAATCAATAACAGTGGGGGAGGGAACAGATGGGAGAATAGGAGAGTCCGACTTCCTGTCTTATCCTTATTTTGCTTTTCTATTTGTAATCTAGTTTCATTTTTCATGTCAGAACTATATATAAAACTTGAAAGGATGAAACTACTTGGCACCTTTTTTAACGAATGCTGTTGTGTAAATGAAACTTGTGTAAATGGTCCACTTGCAAGGCCTTACAAGGAGCTTAAGTCCACATCTACATGCTGACTTTACAGCCTCGACACCAGCACATTGGTTGTAATAATAAGTCATGAATATTAAAACTTTGTACTTTATATTCTACACGCCAAAGCCACTACTGTCCTTTATTTGAAGCAAGGCTTTTCTAATCTTTTTAATACTTTATACACAACACACTTCACACTTGGTTATGTTTGACTGGGTCAAGTATGTCTTTTGTTGTCAGCTAAAAGATTGATGGAGTCATGTAATTCCAGATTTAAAATGTTTTAATGCTGCATATTATAAGTCTTTAAGTTAGTAGAAACACCCTCCATCACCGCCAAGCCCTTTTCTGGTCTTTTGGTATGAAACGCTCATCATCCCTACTTACAGGTACTCAACTACTGATGAAAGTTTCATGCATATCCTAGGGATAACTTTAAGAAAAAAATAACCTTTATAATAAACTTTATAATAATAACCCGACAGCTGAGGTAATTATGTAGAACCTGGGCTCTTGTAGCTCTATCTCTCTAAAAGCCCAGAGACGAAATGCCTTTTGGGATTTGTCTCAGCTCGGCCATCACTAATTTGCCAAATGTAGTATTTGCTTGGATCTGAGCAGTTAATACACTGAATGAGCAGCTATGAAATCCACTCTAAAGCAGAATCCAAACATGTTGCTCCAACACTGTTCAGACAATTGAATGTCTTTATGGTCACAAGAGCAACTGTTCAAGAGCTAGACACAAAGAGCCAGCAACTTGTGGAAAGGACAGTATTAAGCGTATGTGAGCCCATTGTTTGGGAGTGTGAATGTGTGTGTGAGTGGGCTGGGGTTGGTGTCGCAAGAGCAATGGAGCGGGAATCCTCTTAGAAATGTTGGCTTAATGTTATTGCCAAAAGGCACAACACAAAACCTACACGCAATTGCTCCTGCACACACGCCCACACACGTACACAGATGCAAAGAGACAAATGTTAGAAGACAAACGAAGACAAGTCACATGCACAGACACAGACGTGTGTGTGAATATAGTATAGAAAAGGAAAAAAAATAATAATAAACATTATTTGACCAAATCCACTTCACACTTATTTAAGAAAGAGGATGTGGATGTTGGACTTATCTAATATTTAGTGCAAGTGGTTGACTATTCAAGAACATCAGCATGAGTTTTAATCAAAACTGATTACACACTATAGCGGACCCCACACACTGTAGCAGGGCCTTATTGCAGGTCATTTAACATGAATACTGGCTTTCCATAGGAATGCTTCCCCAACTTGTAATGTAATCTCTAATGAAATGTATCCAGAAGCACTTGACTACACTAAAAAAAACTACATGATAAACAAAAATGGAATTTCAACAAACACAGTGACAGACAGGAGTGTTTAAGGATGACAGGAGAGGGAAGAAGGACAAAATGACAAAGAGAGCAAAAAGCTAAACGTTTGTCACTGACCTGCCAGACTGTCCAGTGTGTGTCTGTGTTGTCCGGGGGCCAGCCCAACAAACACCACCTCCTTCCTGAAATGACCGATCCCTGAGAAGGGCAGCACTAGATCCCGCCCACACAGCAGCTCGGCCAATGACGACTCAACCTGAGCCAGCACGGTTGCCGCCCTAAAAGGAAATATACACAGGAATATGCACAACACACACACACATACACACACACTTTCACGACTTAATCCCGTCTCTGCCTCCCCCTCATATTACATAACTACAGAATCTGGTGATTACTAATGACACAATCTTCTACTCAATGTAGATTAAGCACGTAAAGTGGGCCGTTCGTCACTACAAAGCCTAGTCATTTCTAGCACTTTCTGATTAAATTAACTTTATTGAAGCACATCAATAACGTTCAATGAAATTGTTTTAATACTTCTAATAAATTCTAATTCTAAATTGATAACACTACTTTGGTCAGCAATGTCTGTCGTTACACGGGCCATTTTACCATTACGAATAAAAGAAATCTGATAATAACTTAAAGCAAGCCAGTGTAGGATGTTTTCAAATGTTTTCAAATGTCTGTTGCCAACCGAGTTCACACAATGCTGATATTAAGCCCATCACCGCTAGGTAAATCTCTCTGCATTTGCAGTATACCAGAGTTTTAAAATTTGATGTCTGTGGCGGCATTCCCGAGCTGGCAAACCAGTAGTGATGTGTTTTATGCCATCCAGTAAAGACTGATTTGTCAAAGGCAAAGGAGGAGCGACCGTAGCGACAGCAGCAAATCAGTATGACAGAGCCTATCCGTCATATGTGTCGACAGTGTTGTGTAATTACTCTCACTGTCAGAAGAGGGAGACAATAGCTCCGCACTGCAGGTTTAGGTGGGACAATATGAACATTAACATGACACATCATGAGATTTTGCAATGAAATGGGATGAAATTTAATGTCAGAATAAGCGAGTTTATTCTGATCGACGTCTTATTGTGATTATTAATTGTAATGAAAGGCCCAGACTACATACTAGGCTCTGTCCTCATTAGTGGAATGTAAACCTAAAATATTTATAGACCTATCAGCAAGTTTTCCTGGAAGTGCTGAGAGGAAGAGATAAGGCAGAAGCAGCCTCTAACGTGACATGCTGGTAATTAGTCACTGCAGAACACTGCATCCCTGTCTTCAAGCAGTAACTTCAGTCTGCACACTACTGCAACAAACACGAGCTTTGTTTGGCTATCTGATGTTGTGATTATGTACAACATCACAGAGAGTGAATGGGACAGAAAAAATATGATTGCAGCAGTAAACTAATTTGAGGGGCCCTGTTCTATCCTGGGAGCGCAATAAGGAAAATGGAGAAACTGAGGACAAAAGAGAGATTTCATTCTATTCCATTTCTAAAACTCTGATTTGACGTAGGTCACTGCAGAAACATAATGTACAGTGCAGATCTGTGTGCATGGATGACTGTGTGTACATTAGGGGAGGGACAAATCAATATTGCAATAGTGTCTTCTGTAATCACTTTTATTGATACACTAGCATTTTTGAATTCTTAAACCCTAGTGTATCAATAGGTTTTGTCTGCCATTCAAATAATGACACATCTAACCATGTTGTGTATAAATAGTATGGCTCAAACTTTACGCAATGTGGTGCAAACGGTTTCATCTCGGCTGACTTGAAAAATCAATCAAACTCGCTCTTCATAATGAACGCTGCTTTTTTTAAAAAAAAAAAAAAAAAAAGGCAAAATACAGGATACATTTTCCTCTTCAGTTACACAGACATTGTGATGTATGTCAAGGAATTGCCTGCATTGTGATGCTATTGGTATCATATGCAAAATAATGTGACGGTATGAGAATATTATAATGATTAAGATAATTTTCAGGCTTATAGACTTAATAGCAGTAAAAGCACAAGTGTAATTCATACAATTTATAATTGCTGCATAACATTTAGGAGAGCCAGTTCTGGGGTCCCTGTATTGTGCATGCTGGCTCAGTTGTTTCTACACAGAATCAGTGTTAATGGTATTTTTAACACGTGTGGCTTGTGTTTATTCTGTTAAAGAGGCACAGGTAACTTCAGCCATTTCATGTAGTGCGATAGTGTGTATAAATATCATTGAGCCAATTAGGGGCTTACATGTGCATCAGTATAATGTGTGTGCGTGTGTTAAGTTGGTTTTTAATGTTTGTGTTTATGTGGGTACATGCATCCACTCACATATCTACTTGCTCCTGATTGGCGAGATGGGTGACTAATAGCGTGATGTGGAGAGTTGGGATAGGGATCATGGCTTTGGCCAATCGGGGCTCCTGCTGAAGCACCGCTTCTTGGACTTCGATCACAGCTGAACTGATCTGTCATTGGACAAATTCACTTTCAATCATCAGCGGCCGTCAGTTACGATAAGGCAGATGCTGTCACCTACTATGACTGCTTGTCCTTCTTCACCACCACTGCTCTCTTTCCAAGGACTAGCTTGGTATGGATGAGCACAGGAAAGGAGGTGAGGAGATTGATAGGAGGAGAAAGTGGGGAAACCTCAGCAGTTCAACATCACAGATGAGGGAGGCGTCAATAGATGTGACCGTGGGGTAAATCAATGTCCAATCAGAAGAGCGTTTTGGTCAATAAGCATTAAGATTTCAGTGTCAACATCTGTCAGGTAATTGAATCTTCAAAAAAAAAAAAAAAAACATTCTCCCAGTATAGACTGAGCTACACTGAATATGACAAAGACAAGATTAAAGTCTTCCCCACAAAGGCAGAAATCAAAGGTTTCTGGAACAGGTTCCTTTCTCTTATTTACTATGGTTAACCCGCAAGGAGTCAGCAACAAATCATCAGTCTCTGGATCACCAAAAAAGAAAGTAGTAGCAGGTGAAACAATAATTTACTCCCTTTTATTAGCACCACAAAAGCAAAGAACACCCTTCATACTAGAAAGCAGCGGGTCAGTGAGGAGAGCAAAACTACTCTTACTTTCACTGTAGCATGAAACAAAAAGTACTACCAACTGAATTACTCCAAAACATACTGCAGTGTCAGACTTTTGAATGTCATTTTACAACCTTTCATGTAGCCACCTTTTTATATACTATGGTAGCCACTGATTTACTTTGATTTAAGTAAAGTGTGGAAATGAACGTGCTGAAGACAGATAATCCATCACGTTGACAATGTTATGATTCTTTTCTTTTTGGGGTAAAAATGATGAAGGTAGAATCACAGATTGTTTTGGAAAGTCTTCTGAGCAGAGGGTTGAATTGCAAACATGAATGTTGTGAAAATAACATTATAATTTTAGAAGCTAAGTGATAAATAGATGAGTTGATCAACTGAAAGTTAGTTGGCAAAACTTTTAAAGAAATTGGGTAAAATGTGCAAAAACCGTGGGTGAACAGTACAGCACTTCCTTACCTGTGTGTTAGTGATGGGGATGGAGACAAAATAGTTGGGTCGCTGGTTCTCCTTCTTTTTTTTCTTCTTCTCTGCATCCTCTTCACTGTCCGCTCGCCCCACAGCGTCCCCTATCTTCCTCTTCCTCTTCTGCTGGGTTGACTCTTGGCTAGGAACTAGAGAGAAAGGGCAAGCACACTTTACATTTTAAAAAAGCTAGCCCACCCTAGTGACCTACACTCAGAAGCCAGTTTATCAGGTACACCTAGCTAAAACTAATGCGGTCTAATAAAACAGTCCTGTAACAAATCCAACCATCATGAAAGCATAACTTTAATTCACACTCCTTAGCGTGTCATAGATAGTAAATAACACAGGCATCTGGCCAGTCTGCATTAGGCAGAGGAACAACTTTGTTAGTCATTAAATCAGACCTGTGACCTTTAACCCTGTACAGTAGATTATAAAAAAACATACTAACTTATCTTTAAAAGAATGATTAAAAAACAATATTAAGAATGTACACACATCCTAGCTCCTTCCATGTGGTGGGGCTGGTCAGAGCAAACGGAAGCTCTGACATTAAATCGTCCGAACTATCAGCTGACTTGAGCTTTTTCTTCATCAATTTCCTCCTCTCCCTCCTCATCTTTCTCTTGTCCTTCTTCTCACTTGATCCTGATGGAGCTGATAAGAAAAAAAAAAGTTTACAATAAAACAAAAAAACCCACGTTTATGTGTGGACATGAACACAAAATCACACAAAGGAGAGCAATCATACACATGGGATACATGCACAGCTGACGGGCATGGCTCCAGAACACAGTAAACCACCATACTCGCTGCTTACTGTCAAGGCCTGCGGCATTGCAGTCTTTGGAAAATGGTTGACAGTAAGCAAAGCAATATATTATACATTACAAGTGATAATTAATTGGCTAAAACATTTTTATAAAAGCAAAATATTTGTCATGACTTGACTGCTTGAGGTACAAATTCTCTTTTGGGAAGTTTTGACAGTTGAGGTAAGCATATTGTTAATGTCACTGACTGATTAGTTTGGTCATGCAGGTAAGCCCACATCAGCATATCAGCTCACTTACAACTTTTGAGTCAAATTTAACAAAAACAACAACTGTGCAATGTTTCTTCCAACGAAGCTGGTTGTTACATAAATGACACTTTTTATTGTAAGCCAATCAGATTTGTCAATATTGAGTTATCAAAGCAAATTTGTGATGTGTGCCTGCTGATTTAATAAATACTCATTTGTAATCAAAATGTAGGTGATTAGTGTTTTGAATAAAACATATGTTAGACTATTATTTGAATTAGAAATATTGTTTAGTTTGAGAGATGATGAGTTGTAGCATTTGAGCAAACAGACCACATTCTGCTTCACTACAGCAGCTGCATGACATAAGCATGATAAGCTTGTGTATTTTACATTTTCTTATCCAGTTTATATTATTTATTGTATGCTAATTATTCTGTTCAATAAACAATATATGTGTATGTTTATCTTAACATTTTTACCTTGTGGCCTTTACCCTGTATGATGCTGATACTCAATATTATTCAAGCCAAAATGTAATCTTTGGTCAACTTTCAAATGCAAAGACTCTGCAATACCTTTTTTATTTTGAATTCAACCGTGCCATGCCATGAGAAAGATGTGTTTGTCAGTTTCTACTGTTTATCATGCTGTCTGTACACCTGGCCAATGAACAGCAATTGCAATTCTGTATACCAATTTTAAATGGTGTGTAAACTAAAGAAGGGCGTGTGATACCGAAGCCCCGAAGCATGTCTTGCTCCTGTGAAGCACACTGTTTCAATACATTTTGTCAGAGCCCGTTTCAAATGAAGAATATCACGTGGCTGACCATGTGTAAAGCTTCAAGCGCCACTGGTGCTCCAGAAGGCGCTTCATTGAGAGAGAGAGTTTTGAAAGATTTGTAGCTAAACTATGTGATGGACATTAGTGGGGAAAAGAGAGTATAATTGAGAAATATGCCAGATGGGAAGCTTACCACCTGATAGCAAATAACAATGTAATAAAAGTAAAAGGCAAATTAAAGGAATAATGAATATCTCAAATCACACCACATTGCAACTCATACGAAATGTTATGAGTTCAAACATGAACATTAAAATCTATAATTTGACCTGTAACATGTTGCACAGTAACATCTACATTTTATGCAGGACTTCTGAACAAGAGTTTTACAGATTTAATTGCTATACGGTTTACAAACCACCAGATGTCACTGCGCCTGCTTTGTTCGTTTCAGTACTTTTTGGCACAAATAGAAAGGAAGCCCCAAAGCTTCATCAGGCTTCATCCGGCCCTCACTAGTGTGAACTCCATTCATCCATATACCCAGTACAAAGGTGCACTGTGCTAGTTGGGTTTTCCAGTCTACCCAGTCGAATATATCAACAGGTGCCGGAGTGAATTCTGTCAAACCCAGTCAGCATTTCAGGAAGTCAGATGTACTCACCTGACACTGTGGAAGCTCCAGTGTCAGTCTCATCTGCATGGACCTCCATGCTGACTGCATGCACCTGACCCGGAATCACCCTCTTCTCCTTAAACTCCTCATATTCTGCCCGACTCTCTGGTCCAACCACACCTTCACCACCGCCGCCCTCATCATCATCATCATCACCATCTGAGGTAACCGTAGTAGTCTCTTTGCCAAACAGTATATTAGCCGGCTGCATATCACACAGTGTTAGCTGATAGAGACAGGACTGTGCCTAAAACAGAGAGGAATTATATAACCAGGTCAGAGCTGTCATCATATTGTACTTTGTAAAGCAAGGTGAGAACAGAATTAGTTTTTTGCTCTTGATTTCATTACCTTCAGTCGGAACCGGTGTGCAGATGGCTTCAGCGCGCTGATGTTATGACAGTGAACGGTAGATATGGGATGCAGCCTCCGAACTGATAGTTCACGGACAGCAAAAACCCTCTGGAAACCTACTACTTTTGAACACGTCGATCTCAATAGGACGCAGCCGACGAGCATGACACACAACCAAGTGTGACAAACTTCAGCTAACAGACGTTGTTTATGGTTAACGTTAGTTGAACAGACATCACAGCTAACTAACGTTATAGATATAATATAAACCAACAACTCTCTTCGGGATAGTTATCGGTGAGTAACCTCCCCTTGGCTAACACCTGTTGAAATGAACCAAACAGCCATGCTGCAGAGCAACTGTTGAGCTAACTGAGTTAGCTAACTGTTAGCTAACTGTTTCTAACGGAGTTATGCTGCTAATAAGCAAAACTAACAGGAAGAGCATTTTTGTCTTTTTGTCATCGTGTTGCTGGTGCAGAAAGCTCGTTGGTGGCAAAAGTCAAAACAAATAACGGAAAATAACATTTAGCTCACGTCACGCGCTATCTTTCTATACCGGACTGGAAGCAGCTTCTGTTTGTAAACAATGTTTAACTTCCGGTCTGTTTTTTCAGAGCAAAGCCGCTTTTCTCTTTCCAGAATAAAAGCATCGGGCACTTAACCTATTCAAAAACGTTCCCGAAAGTAATTATTATTTTCCATCTATCCATCGTCAACCGCTTATCCTGCGTACAGGTACAGTCGCGGGGGCTGGAGCCAATCCCAGCTGACATCGGGTGAAAGGCGGGGTACACCCTGGACAGGTCGCCAGTCCATCGAAGAATTATTATTTTGAAGAGTTAAATTAAGATTTGGTAATTGTGTCTATTAATGTAACCCACTAGGTTGGACTTGAACTGTTTTTTACACAAATTCAACATTCAACCGTTCAGCTACTTACTACTTGTATAAATAGTGTTGTCAACACATCCCCAACATCTGTATTCACAAAACCTAGAGCTAAGTTGAGTATGAGATATCACTGTAAGCCCTCGCAATGAGGCACACAGAAGAACATTTCACATTGTCATTTTATAATTTGATAATGCAGTTGTTATATTTATATATGGTTTAAATGCTAATGTGTGCATTAAATAGTTTTGACATAAAATATACATTATCTGGTGAGATGAACCTAAAATGGCAAAGTTTTAATTAATCATGTTTATTAGTATTATTATACAGTGATTAATGATATAATCAAAGTGAATTTAGATCTTGTAGTATTTAAGTCGAAAAGATAAATGAATGCGGTTCATTGTGTTCAGTCATATATATGATGCTATCAAAAAAATCCATATTAACAGACAATTAAAAAAGGACCACATACACTATGGTTACATCCATACTTGCAGTTTATTGAAAGTATTAGGTATATTAATCATCACACCTTATAAACTTTCAGCAACATGATTTTACAGTAAGGTACAGCAAAAAACAACATTACCTTTTTTGTAATCTTTATTTTTGCATTATTTATTTAGTATGTGGCCTTAATAAATACACAAAGTATATCCTTTGGCTAGTTAGTCTTTAATTACTTACTTCAAATTTAAATATATACAGAAACTCAGAAATTGTAAATATCATCCTAACTAGTAATCAAAAAAAATGACAAAGATCAAACAGCAGTACAGCAGTAAAAGCTGTGTCTACACAACACTGGCTTTGTTCTTTTTTTCTTTTCCTTGTTTTCATTACAAAGCACAAATCCATTGCACAGAACTGCAGAACTGAACACTGGACATTTGGTTATAGGAATTGCGTTTTATTTTAAGACGGTTACATTTTAACTTTCTTTAAACCAACACGCTCCATAAAGTCTGATGGCCAATAACAGATCAAATGCTATGATAATAAAAAAAATTCTCAACAGAGTTGAACCATAACTGCCATAAAGTAACTTAAGAAAAGCTGGACATGTGTAGAGAACTTTGTGTTTACTTATTTACACTTATGATTAACATGGGTAGTTATACTAATAACACAATAATAACATAGACATTATAACACCACTCTGTGGATCAGTATCTGACATGATTTTACCAATAAGGATAAGTGTATGTTTTCTGCAGTCGGTAAATGAATCATTCAATTGGCTGCTTTATTTTGCTATTGATGCAATCCATTACATATTGTTTTACTTGTGATGTGAACTGAAATATATATATCAAGACCACACTGCCAACAGTACTTACCATAAACCCAAAAACCCTCCTTTACGACTGCCACCAGGACCCCTGAAGTTACTACCAGTACTACTAGTTTTACCACTTTCAGCACCACACAGGGCATTTTCACTTATATCTTGACTTCTCAAAATGCTGTACTCCAGTAATTTCTTTTGTATCTTAGAGACAGCATCATTATTTTGTTGACACGTCAGTAATCCAGGAATTGTCTCATGGTAGAAAACGTTGACATGCAGCACAACTTCAGGTTCAGGATTGTCATGCCATGTTCTCATTGATGTTGTGTACTTTGGCTCATGTGCGTGGTGCATCAACACCAGAATGACAGGTTTACCACCTGTGGACACCAAAAGAGAGAAAGAAGTGTGAGATAGCAAGGACGGAATCTTAGGGCTAAATATTGTAAGTGTCAGTGGAGTGCAATTGTGAGAGCCTGGCCACAAATCATAATCAAAAGATTCTCTTTTACCAAAACATTAATATGTCTATGACTTAACTTTGATTATATAAGTCAGAAAGAACTTTGTAATTCCAAACTCAGAGAATGATAACTAAAGACCAAATCACAGACAAATGATATGCAATTATCATTCCAATATAATAAATTCTTCCTTTACCTTTAACTTTAGTCATGGCTGCTTCAACATCTGTGCCGATGCGTGAACTGATTGGGCAGAAGACAATAGTGATCTGGTAATCCTCATTGTTTTCAATGAACCGATGCTGAACCCAACCCTGAACTTGCTCCCCCACATTGTCCATCAGCTGTGCATCGGCATTAAAGGTTTTACCAGTGACAATCTTCTGGTACTTCACTGTGGTTTCAGAAAGAAAAAATGATTATGCAACTGACACAGATGTATACATTTCCAAGAAGTGGGTTAACTTAAAGGTTGAAAAAATGTATTCTTATAACTATCTTGCTTTGGAGTTCCTAAAAATCCTGAGGAAAAAATATAAAGCTTTTTAAAAAATGTTTGTATATAGTCTGTCTGAAGAAATATTTGTAGAGGGCTATTATGTTAACCCTTCTCCTTAAATTACTGTACTGACACAGTAGCCCGTAGAGCTAACACAACCAGACATTTTTAGTGTCATATAATCAACACTCACCTTCCCGAAAGTCCTGTGGAGAACACATGGAATTCCCTAATGATCAGAAAGACAGCATTCATCATCAATGGCATGCTGTTAACCTTTTTACCAGTCAGAATCAGATACATTTATATTTCCAAAAAGAAAATTGGAATTTGATTTCAAGCTGCTGTTGTTCAGAGGTCCAAAGTCAGATATAATATCCCCAACACACACTTCAACCTTTGTCTATGATTCACTCTACTGGATTCAAGGATATAGTAAATTGTAAGATAAATCCTTTTTAAATTTGTTGATTAAAGGCCCGACAGATGTGGTAACCAAACATTTGAGATATTTTTTGACCCTACTAGTGCCAAAGAGTGCTTTATTTTGAGTTACAACAGACTCTAAAAGGGTTAAAATGCTACAAATGACATAGATATTACACCAGATTTAGCCAGACAACTGCAGTACTCAACCAAATGAAGCACATTGGTGCAATCATTAAGGTACCTGTTCCTGGCAAAGAGTCTGTCACATAATACAGCACAAATGCACTTACTGACTCCAAATCTTATAATTTCATAATCAACTCCAAAAGACTTCATTTTGAGTTACAGTGGAATCTTAAAGAGAACACTATTGATTAAATATGTCATGAAAGTGTGAAGAGAAAGAAAGTTGGATTTACTTTCAGATCTGCGCGGATGGCCAGCACTTTGGTCATGAAGACGTCCTCTGGATGATGGTTGTCTGAGGTACTTGTACCTGACAAACAGTCTGTTTGGTACAATAGCATTGATTCCAGATATTATACAAAAAATAAACTAAACCATATAAAATGTATTTAAAGGATAATTTAAGTATTTTTAAACCTGGGCCCTAGTTTCACATACTGAAAGTTTGTGTCAAAATTATTAAGTGGTACAAAAGGTTTCAGAATCCAGTAGATGGCTTCAGCCAGCAGCTGCAAACTGGCTGCAGTGGCTACAAGTTATTACTTCGGGGCAATTGTGCCCGTTAAAATTATGTGGTCTCGCTCAAGCACAATTCTCTGATATCTCATGAGAGAAGAGTTGTTGCAGGAAGACAACTGCGGTGACATGAGTCAGAGTTAGAGAGAGTTTAAATTTCTTTTTATTAGATTTTTAACAAAAACAAGCAAACAATGATTATAACAAAAACGTAACTCTAATTCACAGAGGAAAAGAGCACATACAAAAGAAACAATCAACAGTAACAAGAACTAAAACATGAATACCTCAATTTCAGAGAAAAACAGCAAATACAAAGGCCCCCCCCCAAAAAAATCCCCCAAAACATATAAACACAAAAATACACCTGCTCAGACTCCCTGCAACCCAGTCTCTGCCAGACCTCAGGTAGGGCCCCCAAACTTTGAGAAACTGGTCTGGCCTGTAGTGAAACATGCCTGTGAGATGCTCCAGCAGAATCAATTGGAATATGACTCTATGCCAGCCCTGTAGAGAGAAGTTTAAGCCATCTACTGCACGGATTCCAAAACGTTTTCTGCCTACTAGTCATTTTGACACCAAAATATGTGAAAATAGTGCCCAGGTTTAAAAATACCAGAATTATCCTTTAACTTAACACTTATGTGTGAATAGTGGGAATTAGTCATTTCCCCATGATAATGATGAGGTTTCTTATGCACTTAAGATATAATGATATTAGAATAAACGAAAATCTAACCTAACCTTTGTCAGATTCCTGGTATGGCTGACTTTTGCTCAATTCCTCCAGAAGACCAATGTGAGCATCAAGGAAACTCTGGACATAATTCATCTGGGTCTTCATGTCCTTCAGGATACGGAGGTATTCAACCAAGACCCCATTGTTAGTTAGCGCAACTGGAGGGAGAGAATTAGATTGCCTGTGTTGTAATGACTATAACACACAGTTACATGTTGCCTCCACCAACATGGTCACAACACAAACCAATACAGCAGTCAAATGTGAAAGTGAAAGCAACTGCTGGCAGGGCTGTACAGTACATACCCCTGAACGGTTCATGTGGGATGAAATCTTTCAGGTCTCTTATGAGCACATCAATTGGCCTCTGAAACAAAAATATTATATTACAGAATTATACTAATGGACCATTTGACTTGTAAATTGCACCCTGCACATTTCAAGTTGTTAGCTCACCTGCTTGTGTATTATGTCAAAGATGGTCCTTCTCAGTTTGATTTTCACAGATTCAGGAAACAGCTCGTACAATTCGACTCGAGTCAGTGACTGAATATCCGAGTCAGTGCGAA